ACCCTCTACTCGCCTGGGCGTCGTTTCTGGACGGGCTGGTGGGGATGCGCGAAGCGTCTAGAATTGAAGATCTCGTCGAGCTTGGTCAGGTCGTTCCAGAGGTAATCGAAATCCGTGTCACAGGTCACCACCGCCGTGAATACCAGCCCCTCTCCGTGGAAGAGCTTCGCCACCTCGAAAGCCAAGTGCTGCTCCACCGCTAACCTCGATGGCGCGAGATGCGCACACCACCTCCACCGACGGCGCATGCTCCCAAACAGCAGCTCCAGCTCCCTCGGCTCCAGCAGCTCGTAGGACGGCCCCCTCAGCAGGTCGGAGGCCTCGCACCAACGCGTAGCGCGCGCCACCACGTCGTCGCTGATCCGCTCGACCCCGCTCGCCAGCTCCAGGGAACCTGGCCGACCAGCTGGTGGCCCCGCGACCTCGTCGTCCCCCTCGCCCTCGTGCTCCACCACGTCCTCCGCCGCAGCGAAGGCCTCCTCGGCCCTGACGGTCCAAGTCTGCAGGTCGCTCATCGCCACCTCCACCCGACACTCGTTGGGGGCCACATTGGTCACGACGGCCCCGTACCCAAACCCCGACGCGTCCGTCGCGCATGCCCTCGTCGCCCACTCCGCCTCCAGGTTCGACGCGATGTGCACCGAGAGGTTGGCCAGGGCCACGAGCTCCGAGATCACCTCCGTCGTGAGTGGCAGGACCACCTCCCAGTAATCGCCCCGCTCGTTGATCCACCTGTAGGCCGCATCCAAGATGGAGAACCCCGAGCGGCATATCATGAGCGTCCAGGTCCACATACCTAGCAGGGAAGAAAGTCTCGCTGGCGCCACGAACGGCATCACCACCAGCGCCTCCGTCGCCAGCACCAGGCCCCTCAGCTTGTCGGGGTGGACCGCCACCAGATAGGGGCGGCCCCTCACAGTGATGCCGAGTCCCTGCTGAAGCCCAGGACCCCGCTCCTCTTTGTGAACCTCCAGACCCTTCTCGACCAGGACCTTATGGGCCACCTCCTCGTCGACCTCGATGTCGTCCGTCAGCGGGCCCAGCAGAATGGACCCTATGTAGTCGCCGACGTGCAGCATCAAGATCAGCTGGCACACCTCGAATGACGGCGTCGGTCGCCCATAGGCAAGCTCTCCCAGGTCGTAGCCCTTCACCTCCTTGATCGAGTCCGCGAGGCGCGAGTGCGCCAAGAACGCGGCCCACGAGTGCCCCATCGCGGGTGCGATCGCGCCCACTCCCATTGCCCCCCCTGAAGGCGGTGGCAACCCCTTCCCCTGGGACCTCGCGCAGTCCCACAGCTCGCTCGGCAACGCACCTTCCAGCGCACAATACTATGCCAGTCTGTCCGTCCACCTCAGTCTGTAGAACCAGTCTGGGATGTCTCCCGCAAAGAGAACAGCTCCGTCTCCCCCAACACCTCGGGCGACAGGCCCTGCGAACTCAAAGCACTCCGTGAACCTAGGCCTGTCCACGGTGGTTTCCTGAACCGAAGGTTGAGACGCCGACGGTCCCAGACCAGCCGCGAGGCCGTGATATCCGTCAGGCCCCCTCCTCCAAGTTCCGCACCACCGCGAGGGCCCCCGCGCGCCCCCGCGCGTCGTCGACGTAGCCGAGCATCCCAGCCCCCCCGCATCCCGAGCGCAAGGGCCAACCAATTCGACTTCACCTTCCGCCCAGGGTCGCTGTAGCCCTTCGTATGCTGGTAATTGACCCAATCCACCTCGTCGTCGCACCTCAGCACGAGCCCCGTCCGCGCTGTCGAGGCGGGGGCGCGCCTTTGACGAAAGCCGCGGCGCGTCGAGGCCCCTCGCCCCGACTGTCGGCGCCGAGACCCGATCCGCTATCAAGTCGCACACGTCGCCCTTCCTCACTACTCCAGTACCCTTCTTCGTCTTCCCCGGCGCGCCGTAGCCCATCAACTGCCCTTTTCCAAGACGGCTGAGAACCGCCCTGCCATCGTCGATGCCCCCCCAGCTGGCGCGCTCCGCCAGCAACTCCCGCAGCTTGTTGATGACCGCCCGCTGCAGTAACATAGCTGAAGACCATGACTTCCTGCAAAGTCGCAGCCGCAACTCCTCCGCCACGCGGGCGCGACCGCGGGCCAGGCACCGAATCGACGCTATGGCCCGGGACAATCTCCCCCACGTTACCCTCTGCTCTGCCTCCGACATCTTCGTTCCCGAGGCCCCCACCGCCCCGAGCGGAGGGAAAGGAAGGCCCCGAAGAGGGTCCCGCGGACGTTCGCCAATCTCCGCTGCAGGTACCCGACGACGACTGGACTCCATGGCCCCGATGAGAGTTGCTCGCCTGCTTGCTCGCCTCGCTCGCGACAAATGCCCAGAAAGAGCCAGGAACAAGACGCTGAATAACACCGAGCCCGAGGGCACCTGCGCGAAGTTCCTCCCGCTCGTAGCCGACCGACCTCCACTGAACCCACGGGAAAGGAATCAACGCGGACTTACACCTTCGGCGTCGGCGCGGAAAGGAGGAGCCGCTAACCTCCCTATCGCAACGTATTCGTCCGCGCCCGCATGCCCCGACGCACCTCCGCCGAGAGAGAGGTGCTTGGTGATGGCGGCCTTCTTCTTCAAGCGCTCAGCAACCTCCTCGTCCGCCGCCATCACGTCAGCCGTCGTCGACTTGTTCGGGCCCAGGTGCTCGTCGGCGTAGCCCCAGTTCACCTCTGCCCTCCACTTCGATCCGGTGGCCGTCTTGGGGCGACGCCAAACCGACTCAACCTCCACATTCTCGTAGGCCTTGAAGTTCGAATAGGTCCTGAGGCACGTGAGCTCCGCCGCCTGTGACTTGATCAGCGCGTCGAACTCGCCGCGCGTCATCATCCTGTCCAAAACTGCCGCGAGCCTGTAGATCTCCGGCGCGATCGAGCACTTGGTCAGCTCCTTCGAGCGTAGCCAGTCCTCCAGCTCCGTTCGGGCGCCTCGCCCACTCTTATACAAGCGGGCGGGGACAGCGGGAGCCACCCTCGCACGCACTCCTCCAACACGAGCGCCTTCCACGTCACGGTAGGACTTCAACGCGGCCAACACCCCGTCCTTTGAACTGCGTGCCTCGAGCTCCAGTTGCGCGACCGTCTCACCGACGCTAAGAGGTGCCAGGCGACGAGACCTTCTCCCAACTAGTGCGAGACCCCGAAGCCGGAGTCGTCGGAGCCGAGGTACCTTCCTGCAACTTCCGCAGAAAATCGTCAACCTGCGCGTCCGTCGGCTTAGCACGCAGCTCGCCATCCTCACCGTCGCTGTCGAAGCTGAGACCCTTCCGAGGCGCCGTAGGCGCTGCCACCGGTGACGCGCTGGCCTTCTTGCTCACCATGTCCGCTAGCGAGGCCACCGACGCCTGTAAGATGTTCTGCCCCCGAGCCAGCTCCGCGAACAGGTGCCTTGAATCAGGCTCGTCGTCCGAGTCTGCCACGGAAGTCCCTGCCACGAGCTCCCCGTCCGACACCTCGCTTTCGCTGTCGCTGTCGCCGCTGCTCCAGAGCCTTGGCAGGCCGACACCGATGATCAGAAATTGATAACCGAGGTAGGTCACCGCCAAGCCGACTCCGATCGTCACCCCCATCTGCTCGATCTCGCCTGATTCGTACATCTCCTCGGCCTTCTCGTAACAGTCTTGCGCACCCTTTGCCAGCTCTCCAGCTGCCAGGACGGAGTCGTACACCGCCCGCAGCACCGACCCCAAGCCAAGGAACTTCCACGCCCTCCAGCTCAGGAGCAGGAGCGCCACGGAACCTCCTGCCGAGCGCCGCAGCCAAAAGAAACCGAACGTGTGCATCACACCGCTCTTCAGCCAGTCGAACAAGTCGGTCTTTTTTGCTCGGCTTCTTAATATTATTCGTATTTTTCTTCTTCTGCATCTTGCCTTTCGCTGGCGCCGAACTAGTCGCATCCTCAGCCTCCAGTTCGCGTCGAGCAATCAGTCGCTCCGAAGCCGTCAGCACCTTGTCCCTGCTCGCCGCGCTCAGCCCAGGATGTTGCGTCCAGGTCAGCTCTTTGACAGGTTCGGTGAAGATGCGTTCCTTGTCACGAGCACTGATGACTTGGACCCTCAACGTCGGGTCGCACGCTGTCCAGGTAACGCTGTTCGTCTTGCCGATCCGCGAAACCAACAGCATCACCACCCCCTGCGAGGGCCCCGTCTTGTAGTAGATTATGTTCCACCTAGCCCACGGCGCCATCAGGACAGTCGCTCTGGAACCCTTCGCGGCGATCTCGCCCACCTCTTCGTAGTCGCCCTCGCCGTAGGGGTCGAACTCCGCCGCTGCCGCCCAGAAGGGACGGCCCTCGTCGGCCAGGTCGGGCGCGTTCCACCCGAGGACCGTGGCCACGCCGTACCACCAGAACTTCGTAGTGCCGTCGCGCAACGTGAGGCTCTGACCCTCCCGCGGTGCCGTCCAAAATCCGGAGGGCTCGTAGATCTCGCTGGAAATCCTCGAGCCGAAAACTTGAGCGGCGACAAAGCCGACAAGGACGAAAAGGAGGACGAGGAGAGAGAGGGGCGGCACAAGAGGGGGTACTAGCAATGTAAAAATGCGTTTAGTAAAACATGTACCAAACTAGAAATTAAGGCAAGAGGAGTAAGAACCCTACGTAGTGCAAGCACTGATTGGAGGAGAGACGCAAAATGTGCCACGCAAGGCACGGGAAAACCCAGAACACCGAATTACTGAAGTAGAGGAGTAAGAACCCCTGAACCCCTAAGTGCAAGCCCTTGGAGAGTCTCGACGGCGTCCCTCCCTCCTCCTGGGAGACCAAGAAAACTACCGATACAGCTACTCCCCGGACCTCTCCCGGGATGCATTCTGACCCGGATTTCGAGGCGACATCCAGTGGTGGCGACGAGGGTCTCCCAGGGGAGGCCCAAAAAAGCGAAAACGAAGGAAGGGGTAGCGGTATGGGCACCTTTCCCTCCTCTGATCAGAGTCTCGACAGCCTCCCCTCCTGCTCCTGCCCATACCTGCCTCCCCCCCGCCCTCGAGCCACTTGAACTGGCCCCACTCGTTCAAGGGCGCCGGGGGTGGCTGGGAGCCGACGTTGCCCAGCTCGGGGTAGGCGCTGATGGCGGCAGCGGCGTGCCCTGGCCAGAGGGCGGGCAGGGAGCCCTAAGACGAGGCCAGGAGGAGGAGCACATCGGGTGAGGATAAATCGAGAATCTCTGGGATCCCGCGGCTCTGGAGGATGTCTCGGGCGCCGCGGCCTTCTCAGAGCGTCCAGGAACGCTCTGAAAGCGTTCTGGAGCGCTCTGGAAGGGATTTATCCCCGTCTCAGCCCCGTCCGGCGTAGTACTGGAGCTGGATTGCATGTGGCCCAGACATGGAAACGCATCGACGATTCATCGACGATGCACCTGTGATGCCTGGATGCGGGATTCGGTTGCGCCGCATTGCCGATGCATCGGCGCTGTGGTGCGACCTGGGGGGCTACTAGTGGTGTGGTCCCACTGTTTTGCGGCGTCGCGTTTGATGCACCTCCAACTTGACGGCTCGGGGAGGAATCATGGACATACTCGCTGGCGGTGGGTCCACTGGTGATGGTGGTGTCATTTCTCCGACCTCCGATTCACCAAACAAATCGGCCGATGGATCTTTCCAAGTGTTCGTCTTGGCCAGAAGACCCATGCGGATCCAGCCGTGCTGACGAGGGCCTCTGGATGCGCAAATAACATTCAGACACAATTGACCACAACAGAAAACATCCCTCCTCAAAACCTCGAGCCTTGATCCCCAACTCCCTGGCCGGCCGTGCACGCGCGTGCACACAGTGAGGGTGCACGGCCGTGTACACGTGCGCCGATGCGGTGGCGCGATTCCTTACCTAGCAAGCGCCAAAGAGCACACGCAAGCGCATCTTCCCCTCAGGACCCGTTGCTTCGGCAGTACGCAAAATAAAGGGTCCTCGGCTTGGTCAGAGGCCTCTGGTGCGCGGCTCTGCAGCACCGCGGGGGGGCGCAGATCCAGGCGCGCAAGCCTCTGCCACTGGTCGCTGGTTCAAAGATGGGGTCCTGATGGATGGGGCTCTAAGTGGGGCCCACCGTGGGCCCGCACCAGGGGGCACTCCAGCGAAGGGACACCTTCACGCGTACCCGGACATCCTCCGATTTGATGATGTCGGTCCGCGGCTCCAGGCCTGGAGACCGAACTCGGCGAAACACGTTGGGATCGAACACATTTTTGGAGGGAGAAGATGGGAGCGGACAGCATGCTTCAAAAAAACCAGCGTCAAAACTCGAAGGCCGCCACGCACAGAAGGCCAGATGAAAAAGACATCTTGACTCAGCGGGGGAAGAATGGCACAAACGAGAAAAAGGTTGCACTCAAAAGCCGCTGTCTTCCTCGCACCCAGTGAGCGGGACAGACGCGCATCACGCCGAAGGAAAAGGGAAAGGAGAAGGAACCGGAGTTGGAGGAGGAGGAGGAGGAGTTTCTGCTGCAGCGCAGCATGCAGCCCGCACGTCACCTCAGGGGAAGGCGAGACCCCCGAGGCAAAAAACAAAACCACTGACCGACCTCTAACAGGCAGGCTCGGAATTTATAGCCGCGCACACAGGCTGGGCGAGAAGAAACAAAAGGTGATGCCCTGCCTGGCGCCAACGGAGCAGGAAAGGGCCCATCTGGACTAGAACGGCCCCGTTCAAGACTCGACCCGTCCCGCTATAGCCAAGAACGGGACCGTTCTAGGCTAGAGCGGGTTGGTGCTGCATCGGGGCAGCCCCGGTATAGGATCCGACCCGCGACACTGCCATACACCCAGACAATATGGGGCAGTCCCCTCAATGATTGAACAATGCCGCTGCCGCCGCAGCGGGGGAAGCAGCATGCTGGCACAAACCAGCGACGCACAAGAAGAAACGAAAGGCGAAGTCCAGCCAGACACCACACGGTAGGGCGGGGCGGGTACTGACTCGGGGCAACCACAGAACAGGACCCCAGACCCCACCAACAGACCAGACAATTATGGAGCAGGTTCTTAAATGCCTTATCAGCGTCGCTGTTTCCGCGGCGAGGAATGGCGCGTGCTGGCTCTGGCCATCGACGCCCGAGATCCTTTGGCAGGTTCGAAGACGCCTCGAACATGCCCACCGCCAGTGTAGAACATGCACTTGAAGCGCACAAAAACGAAACTGCCGTCCGAGGCGCCAAGACACAGCATGCTGTGCCCCAGAGCAGAAAACGCAATAGCATCCATGCCACGGATCCCGACGCCCGCACCACCATGGCACAAGCTCGCGGGCGGCTTGTCGGCTGAACGTGATCCACGAAAACATTTAGAGCACTGCCAAAAACGTCCCGTCCAGCTCCAATCGCGCGTCGGACCCTGCTCTTTGCTCACAGGAGCGGCAACGGGGGCCCCCTGCACGTTCGGCCCTAGATCGAGCTGCGGCCAAAGAAACGGTGAGAGCTTCGCGACCAGAATGCCCACAACTCTCGCAATTGCCAGCTTGCCATCTACATCCTCAGCTACCGCGTTGTCGGGCTGTGGGTGGATCAACGCAGCCTGCTTCGCCGAGGCGTCGACCACGTGGTTCCCCTCACGCAAGTAAAGAACCCAGCTACCTTCGGCCCTTTCGATGGTCTGGTGGGCTTGGGCTCTGTGTACTTTGCTCCGCTAGGAAAACTCTCGACCGAATTGAGCAACTCCAGCGTGCGCGCTTGGGAGAGCATTGCCCTTCCCACGGAAGGGCGCGACAACCAACGCAGGCTTTACAACCGACAAACAGCTCGCAAGGACCACTCGACCACTGCGTCGCGACCAAGGAAGCATGCAACTTAGCGGCCTGCGCCGTCAGTGGATACGGGGGCCAGGCTGGCCCCCGCACTCTAACGATCCCGGGACCTGTGTCACGGTGCCAGAGCGAGAGAAGGCCCAACCCGCACGATCGAGTTCGGGGATGACCCCCCTGCTGGATGACCCGTCCGCGAATATATATATATATGTATATATATACACATATATCAGACGAAAGCGTCGTCGAGCATGGAGCCCCCGACAGCGGGAGAAACCCATTCGACCAGCGCACCACCCGGCTGAAGGGGGCACGGGAAAGACTCGGCAAGGTGGCTGGAAACTCCGCCGCACGCGAGCACGTCGCCCGCGCCCTCCGCCCGCCACCTCACTACGTCCAAGACCAGAGTCTCCCTCTCGCGCGATACCTCCGCACATTCCCATAAACGATGCCTTAGCGCGTCTTCCGCGTCGAAACACAGCGGGCACAGCGTGGGCGGTATAGCGTAAGCCTGAGTCGGCAGCGCGCTGCCTAATACGAATGGCGTTACAAAACAGCACAAGCACGAATCTGGATTCTAAAAAATCGGGGCCCAGGCGAGGGTGGCTGGGATCACCGGGCCTAGACGAAACCTCGATGACCCTGATATTAAATACGTAAGCGCGCAGGGGTGGTTCTAGAATAGAACGGGGCGTTTCTACTCCGAGGGGCGGCGGCTCTGGAGTAGAATGGGGCAGTCCTAAAATAGAACGGGGCGGTTCTCACCCTGGCAAATTTAATAAAGAAACAATAGAGCAACTGTTCCACGCGGCTGGCCCGCGGGGCGCCCCCAGACGGCGACCGACGCGCGGGCCCCCGGGAGAGCGAGAAGGAAAAAAGGGCTCCTGGGACACAGGGCCCAAGAAAAAGGGGCCAGTACTGCGCTCGAAAGCGACGAAGATCCGACATGGCCTCGTCGCCCCGAGGGCGACCCCCAGCAGGGGCCAAATCGGCGACGGGCGGCGGCGGCGAGGGCCCGGCGATGGCCTCAGCTCGCCCCCGCAAGTCATCCCGCTCAACAGACGATTGGCCCTCAGCGCCCGCGGGCCCGCGCACGGCGTCGACCGCTCCCCCCTCCGCCGTCGACGGCCCCGCAGTACTGGGGGTGCTGCTCGCCCCCGCCGGAGTCGAAGCGTCCGCCGACGCGCCGCCCGCAAGGCCGCGCCCGAAGTCTCCTTTACGTCTCTTGGTCGCCAACCTGGCCATCTCGCCCTTCTGCCGCTGCTCAAACTGCTTGGACTTCCCCGCCGCGTCACCGAACATCTGCTTGACCGCTCGTCGCAGTTCACCCTGCCACCGACCGCGACGCACCTCAAATGCATTCTTGTCAGCCTCAGACAAATCAGGCGCCGACGCGTCGATGGGCGCGGAAGAGACATTGACCGCCTCCCCCGCGAAAGTGGACTCGATCGACAAGCCTGGAAGAACTGATCTGACGCAGAAGGCTTGGGCGCCACCCGCGAACGCTGCTGCTCCACCAACCTCTTATGAGACTTCTCCGCTTCACGCAACTCATAAGGCAAAGACTTGGCGCGGCCGCGATGATCCTCGAACGAGGCGGCCGTCGACTCAAAGGCCCCGACAGCCTTCGACAACCTGCCCTCGAGAGCGCGCGCGTCGCGGAACGCCCTGTTGGCGTGCCGCTTTAAAGGGGGGGCTCGGAGATGACTCTCAATTTCCGCCTCCTTGGCGGCGAGCTCCGAGCGCTGGGCCGCGCCTTGGGCGTCGCCCGCGGCAGCGAGCTGCACGCGCTACTCCACGCGCGACTTAACCTCGCCCTCAGGGGTGGCCGGGGGGCGGCGCCCGCCTGACTGATGCCCGCCGCCGCGATGAGGAGGCCCGCCACCACCGACAGCCACGAACGGTGGGCCAGGACGAGCAGGAAGCAGCACAGGGCCATGCGCGGGGGCAGACCACTGTCCCGGCGCGACAGGATTGGGCCAGACGCCGCTCGGAAGACGCGGCGGCCCGTACCCTGGAGTGACACGGTAAGTCCAGCAGACTTCGCATAGCTGCCAGGCAGGAAGTGCACAGCCATTTGCTCCCTCGAGCACGCGGCTGCTGGCCCCCCTGAGCATGGGGGCGCGGATGCCACCAGGGCACTCGGTCCCAGTCGCGAGAACTGGGGGTTGCAAGCGCCATGGCAGCGAAATGAATCGAGAAATCTTCCCTGCGTTGACCTCAGAGAGGCCCTCAAGTGAGCGAAGACAAGAGTCCGGTACAGCCCAGGAAACAATCTGGCGACCTGGGCCAGAAAGGCACTTGAGAGGAGGAGGAGGAGGAGGAGGAGGAGGAGGAGGAGGAGGAGGAGGGGG